GGGGGGTCGGCGGGGACGGCCTCCCGGGCGGCGCGATCGACTTTCGGTTCGGCGACGTTCCCCCCGCGCTCTTCGGTTTCCGGGTCGATCCGCCCCGTTTTTCTTCGCGGGGGCGCGAAGAGGGGGTCTTCGGCGGGCCGTAGGCGGTCTCCCCGGCGAATTTTCCCGGGTATTTGGGGACGCAGGGGCGCACGAGAGTTGATAAGCGACGCGCCTAAATCGGCTGATTGCTGTCGTATGCCGCCCCGCCAAAAAAATTGAGATCTCTCTCTCTCTCAAGAGATTTGAGAGAGAGAGAGAGATTTGAGAGAGTTCGGTCGTCCAGGCGTCCGTCGGCGGGGCAATTCGTAGCACCCGTCCCGTCGCTCGCTTAGGCCCGCACGTGGGTGCGCTCGCACCTACGAAGGCGTACTTTCTTCGACGCACACGGGCGGCCGCCCAAGTCCCACGTTAAAGCACCCATGATAATAATAACAATAACACTTCTGCGGTACGCCCAACCGTGCCTGTCCCGTGTAACACGAGTGTAACCATGTGCGGTCGCTCGGTGGGACGCTCAGCACGAGCCTCAGGCTGGCGGGACTCTATCCGCGGACACGAGTACGGCCACTCACGAGAGGACTCTTACGAGAGAACTCTTTAGTTCACCCCGAACAGGCGGCCCTCGCAGCCGTCCTCGGCCGACAGCCAGAGCTGGTTCGTGCGGTCGAGGTGCCAGTAGAAGCGGTGGTGGAGCGTGAAGGCCTTCGGGCCGAACTTGGCGCGGAAGCCGTCGAAGCCCTCGGCCTCGAGGGTCGGGCCCTGGCGCCAGACGCGTCCCCCGTCGTGGCCCCAGCCGTCGTAGCCGGCGATCTCCTCCTTGGACCAGCCCTCGGCGTCCTCGCCGTTCGCGAGGCTCAGGTGGAGGACGAAGTTCATGCCTCCCGCGGCCGTCGGCACGTTGCGGACCTCGCGGCCGTGGAAGAGGCGCACGTTGTCGGCGTCGGCGTTTTTCGCGTAGCCGGGCATCTTGGCCATGCGGTTCGTCGCCGCGTCGTACACCTCGGGCTGCTCGGCCTCGGGCTGCTCGGCGGCCTCGAGGAGCCGCGACCGGAGCGCGTCGGAGAGCACGAGCTGAAACAGCATGCCTCCGCAGAAGTCGAAGGTCGCCTTGTTGTCGTGGAGGTCCACGAGGTACTGGGCGAGGCGCCCGTCGTAGTCGCCCACGCGCGTCTTCGGATCCGTCAGCGGCATGGTCGCGACGGCGCGCGCGGTCGACGCGCGGCGGGCGGCGGGGCGGAGGAAGGCGCTCGAACTCGCGAGGAGGAACGCGAGCAGGCGCATCGGCTGTGAGGCGGCGGTGTGGTCGACGACGTAGGCTGGCTCTCCGAGGCAGCGGCGTGAGGCGCGTGAGCTGGCTCTCCGAGGCGGCGGTCGAGGCGTGAGGCGTGGAAGCGGCACGATCAGTCACCTTGAACTCGCGTTGCAGCTCGACCGGTGCGATATGGCAGCCCTGGCCAAACTGATGGAGGCCCTAGCCGTGGACGGCGCCGTCGAGCGCAGAACGGTGGTCCTCGCGGGCGTCACGGGCGACGGCAAGAGCTCGACGGGCAACAGCGTCTGCGGCCGGGCCGCCTTTGCGACGTCCGGGGGCCTGCGGAGCGAGACGCGGGCCCACGCCGTCGCCGACTACCGCCACGGCGGCGCCTTCTGGCGCGTCATAGACACCATCGGCCTCGAGGACACGTGCCTGCCCCAGCTCGAGGTGCTGCGGCGCTTCTCGCTCTTCGCGGACGACTGCCCGGACGGCGTCGACGCGTTCCTCTTCGCGCGGAGCCGCGCCGAAAATCCGCCGCGGGAGTGCTCGGTTTCGTCGAGAGAGACGGTTCCCGCGGGAGTGCCGCGTGTTCGTCCGGCGCGAGACTTCCGGCGGAGAGGGCGTTTCCTCGTCGAAAGATCGTTCCCGCGGGAGTTCGTCGAGAGCGACGGTTCCCGCGGGACACCGCTCGTTCGTCGAGAGATCGCGTGTTTTCTCGTAGAAAGACCACCCTTCAAACATAGGTCGTCAAGTGGGGCCGCTTCAAGCCCGAGCACGAGCGGGCGCTGGACGCCTTCGCGGCGAACGTCGGCGCCGCGGCGCTCGCGCGGACGCTCCTCGTCTTCACGCACTGCGGCGACGCGGACGCGGCGGGCCTCGACGCCACGCTCGCGTCCGACGCGGCGCCCGCGGCGCTCCGCGACGTCTGGCTGCCGCGGCTCGGCGGCGCCGTCGGCGTCGACAACGCCGCGGGCGGGGCCGCGCCGCGGCTCCAGGCCGCGCTCGACGCGGTCGTCGCGGCGCACGGCGGCGAGCGCTACGCGAACGCGGCGCTCGCGTCCGCGCGGGAGCGGCGCGACGCCGACGCGGAGGCGGAGCGCGCGGCCTTCGCGGCGGCCGTCGCCGACTGGCGCAAGGGCGAGGGGCCCGTCGTCGTCGAGCGCGAGCCCGCGGCGGAGCCCGCCGCGACGCCCGCGGTCTAAGGCCAGGTTAAAAGAAAACACCGGGTCTAAGGCCAGGTTAGAAACGCCCCGCCGCGCGGTTCGCCCTCGAGGTCGCTCGTCTTCACGGGGAGCTTTCCGCCGAGGAGCGTCGTGCTGCCCTGGCGGACGAGGTAGGTCGGCGAGGGCAGCGGCCCCGTGAACGTCGTCTCGAAGGCCGCGCCGCCCTCGTTCGGCGCGAGCAGCTCGTCGTCGTCGTTCGGCGGGGCGCCGTACCCGTCGATCCAGAGGTCGAGGAAGCGCGTCTGCCAGGCGTCGGAGAGCGTGTTGCCCCAGTAGGAGCTCAGGCTGATCTCGTTGAGGCTCACGTCGCCGTCGGGCGCGACGAAGACGTCGCAGCGCAGGTAGTCGGCGCCGACCTGCGGGCGCGACGCGTCGCCCCGCCGCCGGGCCGCGCGCGTCGCTCCGGGCGCGCGTCGCTCCGGGCGCGCGTCGCTCTGGGCGATCGTCGCTCCGGGCGATCGTCGCTCCGGGCGCGCGTCGCTCCGGGCGATCGTCGCTCCGGGCGATCGTCCCTCCGGGCGATTGTCGCTCCGGGCGCGCGTCGCTCTC